TGCTGTCTCTGTCCCTTTGAGATGTAAATCTTCTGAAGCCAGAATATTGTGATAAATGTCTTTCTGGAGAACCTGTGAGCCATCACTTTAGAAAGTAATAATTGAAGGAGATAGTGGACCCATCTCCCAGCCTCTATCAGAGAGAAAGAGCCTAACTTTGAAATGTGAAAAGATCACTTAGCAAGCAAGGTTGTCTTCATCATATTGACTAACCTCCCCCACAAGCATGTTCCAGTATGTTTTCATTACTTTACCCAGCATTTAAAAATCCTTCTGCCTCTCGATTCAGTGGAATTTCAGTTAATCTTCCTCCTTGATTGCAATGATCTTGATCCCTATTTCAAGTCTTGAATAGAGTCTTCCTTGCTATTTTGTAATGTCTGGTGCAATTTTCCTTTCACACAGTTGCATTTTGTATTGTGCATTATTGAAATAAGTGAAAGTAGGATCAATCTAGGAAATCTGCTGCTACAGTTTCAAACACCAAAGGAAATAATGCTTATGATTACAGCACAGGACACACACATACCTGGACACACACACACACACACATACACACAATAGTATGTGAAAGGGTGAGGGCTATGCGCTCTCCGCCATCTCCTCCATGTTGGGGCCACGTGTAGCCTTCTTCCCGGAAGCCCAGGCCTCTGCTGGCCGCGCCCGGGATTTTAAACTAACCAATGACAATCAAGGGAAGTGCGCGCCATAGATATGACCACATCCTGTGTAACAAGACCCGGCTCACGCCTGGCCAATCGGCAGGGCCCACAATCCCCTTGCGTCACCCCCCTATTTAAGCCGGATTTTCCCATGGGAGGGCACTCTCTCTTCCTGTCGCCGGGCCGGCCGGGAGCAGGGCCGGGCCGGCCGGGAACGGGGGTCGGTCTAGCTAGCCCTAAAATAAAAGGTCCTTTTGCTGTTGCATCGAAACTGGCTCCCAGTGTGGAATTCTTTGGGGATCTTGGAATCTGGGCATAACATTTGGGGTCTCGCCCGGGATCCTCAAAGCCCATTGAGGGACTCCCAGCTCGGAGGACTTGGCTGACCGCGGTATGTGTCGTTTATGTTTGTATTTGTTTGTTTCTGTGTGAGCTCACTTCTGAAATCTGTATTCGCCCACATTGATCGTGGACGCACGAGGACAAAGGGCGGGAGGAGTCGGGGGACGCCTCGATCCTCCATCTGTATCTGTGGAACTAGCTTTGCTTCCGAGGTCGGGAAATCTGTAGGCGGGTAGCTTCCGCTGGCTGTAGAACTAGCTTTGCTTCCGAGGTCGGGAAATCTGTAGGCGGGTAGCTTCCGCTGGCTGTAGAACTAGCCTTGCTTCCGAGGTCGGGAAATCTGTAGGCGGGTAGCTTCCGCTGGCTGTAGAACTAGCCTTGCTTCCGAGGTCGGGAAATCTGTAGGCGGGTAGCTTCCGCTGGCTGTAGAAGTAGCCTTGCTTCGTTTTCGGTTTTTACCATCATGGAGTTGGAAAATTATTTTGGTTTCGCGTCCATGGAGTTGGAATACTGTATTTTAGGGCCCCTTAGTTGTCTGTGTTTGTGTTTTTTTGGTTTTATTTTGTGGATTTACTGGATAGACATTATGGGACAGACTCAAACTACTCCTTTAAGCATTATGGTCTGTCATTTTAAAGAGGTAGAGGAAAGAGCCAGCAACCTCAGTGCGGAGGTTCGGAAGGACCGGTGGCGGGCCTTTTGTTCCAGGGAGTGGCCGACTTTTAATGTCGGGTGGCCGCCGGAGGGGACTTTCGATCTCCCCACCATCCGCCGGGTTAGGGATATCGTCTCCCAGCCCAAAGAGGGACATCCTGGTCAACTCTCTTACATTGTTACTTGGCAGGACCTCGTGGAAGATCCACCATCTTGGCTTAGGCCCTTCCTACCTCCACACCCTCCGGAGCCAGAACCCATTTTTGCCTTGCAGGAAGCGGAGAAGAGGAAGGAGAAAAGAACCACCCTGCCGTCAGCTCCAGCTCCCCCCTACCCGGTTTTGCAGGGGGGAACTGAAGAAGAGTTAATTTTTCCTCCCCCATATCATTTCCACAGGATGCCGGAGAGATTTGATCCTGCCCTGTGGCGGGAAGCTGACGCAGTTCCGGGAGTACCTGGGGGCGGAGTTCCGGGAGTGCCTGGGGACGCAGTTCCGGGAGTGCCTGGGGGCGGGGTTCTGGGAGTGGCCTCAGTTCCGGTTCCGGTAGGAGGCCCGCCTCTCACCCGGCAAAGAGCTCAGCGGGAACTGTCTGTCGCAGCCCCCGACTCCACTATTAAGACCTTGCCCTTACGGGCCGCTGGACCCCCGGATGCGAATGGCAACCAGCCCCATATCTATTGGCCTTTCTCAGCTAGCGATTTGTATAACTGGAAGGCACAGAACCCTAAGTTCTCTGAAAAGCCGGGGAGACTTATTGACTTGCTAGATTCTGTTCTTTCACCCATCAGCCCACATGGGACGACTGTCAGCAGCTTTTTACAGGTTCTTGTTCACAACGGAAGAGAGAGAAAGGATCCTCAATGAGGCCCGGAAAGATGGTTCCTGGTGTGGACGGAAAATACAAACCACAAACCAGGCCCAGATAGAATGCCTCTTTCCCTTTTAACTAGGCCTGAATGGGATTTCAACACGGCAGAAGGGAAAGGAGAGGCTCTTCGGTCTACCGCCAGACTCTAATGGGGGGGCTCCGTAGGGCTGCTAGGAAGCCCACCAATTTTGACCAAGGGTGGGGAACGTACAGCAGGGAAAGAGATGAGTTTCCCGCTGGCCTTTTAGAACGGGATCATGGAGGCCTATCGAACCTACACCCCCCATGTTTCCCGAAACCCCCTGAAAATAAGGGCACTTGTAATCATGAGTTTTTTTAACCCAGCCAGCCATGGACTTTCGAAAAAAAACTGTCTAGAAAAAAAAAAGATTAGGAGAAAAAAAGTTTAACGGTATTTTCTGGGGAGTGGCAAAAAA